CCCAAATTTTGGTATCATCAGCAAATTTGAACAGGTTGCTTTTCACCCCGTCGTCCAAATCACTGATAAAGAAATTGAACAGCGCGGGCCCAAGGACCGAGCCCTGGGGGACCCCGCTGCCCACTTCCCCCAGGTCGAATATGACCCGTCCACCACCACCCTCTGAATACGACCCTTCAGCCAATTTGCAATCCATCTGACTGTGTAGGCATCGATGCCACAGTCGCCTAGTTTTTTAATGAGGATGGGGTGGTCGACAGTGTCAAAGGCCTTGCTGAAGTCCAGAAAGACTACATCCACGGTGACACCTGCATCCAATGCTTTTGTGACCTGATCGTAAAAGGCAATCAGGTTGGTCTGACAGGACCTGCCCCTAATGAAACCGTGCTGGTTGCCCTTGAGCATCATCATGATCTGTGGGTCAAGGGCACCCCCTTGTACCAGACTGCCTGGTATGAAGAGGTCAGGGTAGCTAGTGATCCCCTGCAGGGGACCTTTACACTGCCCCATATCCCTAGGGGCTGGAGTGTTCCCAGGCAAGGTGGAGAAGACAGGGAGCATCAGTGGTGAAGACCAGAGCAAGGCACCAACCCAAGGCAACACCTTGCCTTGTGTTACAAGGCTCCCCTCCACCTCTCCTGCCCCACCATACTGCATGGTGACCATGAACAACATCTCCAGTCAGGGTCTTTAGAGCCCCTCACTACTGGAAGAGCTTTTTGTCTTACCATAAGGAAAAGAGGCTGGTCAAGGTCCTTCAGGGAGTGTGCGGCGTTGGTGGTTACCGAGTGGGCACCAGCACACCAAGCCAGAGAGAAGAGCCACGGCTCATCGATGACGTAGAGGTTGGTGGTGATGTTGGCCTCGGCGTATGTCCTTTAAAACACCAGTGCATGTAAAAAACATTAAGGGTGCGCGGTTTCCATCTGGCACGTGCCAGGGAAGTTCTGGGTGGCAATTAGCCGGGGTGGCTTCTTGGAAAGGAGACAGAGTGGGAGCAAAGGGGCCAAGAGTTGCCAGTCAATTGATTATGTACAGACACAGGGTTTGTTCTGATTGGCCACATTAACAACGACTGGTCCTCTGAGGATAATCACATTTGAATGGCAAGTACAAGAACAGGGTTCTTTGTGTCTGCCATTCAAATATTACACACTTATATATGCATTTACACTTATATACATTAAAGCATAATGAAGGGATAGCATACATAATAAAATCAGAATAATACATGTTTTACAAGATATCTCTATATCTCTAGATATAGATCTATAAATCTATATAAGATTATATATCTATATCTTATATCTATATAGAAGATAGATCTGTAGATAGATAGCTATATCTATCTATCTATATCTATATCTAGAGATATAGATCTGTAGATGTCTTATATAGATTCAATTTATATGGGTTAATACATCATCATTAGCTGTTTCGTCAAATGGTTAATCGATTGCTCTACAGCCCAATGGGTCAAAAGTTTGCCTATAAGCCTGACCTATGAGTATCGATACCACTTTCTACTGATGTGTTTATGATCATCTATAAAACCTGCTACTTATATCTGTATTGTACTCAGTGGTCTACGGACCACTTGCCCAATCTTTAATCATTGCCAATCTGCCCCTGAACAAGGAGCAAGGCACTTGTTCTAAAAAGCTTTATTAAAAATGTCAGCCTTTGCTGCTGTTAAGTTATACTGCAGACGGTAGGACGCTAAATGTTAGTCACTCTAATTAGCATTAGAAAATGCTGAAGGGTTTTCCATTCTGAAATGATCAAGTGCTAGGATTTGGGACAAGTGAAGTGCATGCAAGGAAAAGCAGCAATTCCGCTCACTAAGGGAGAACATGTATCAGACCTGAGTTTTCTGGGAAAAAAGAATTGTTTGGGCAAAATAACGAATGAAATCCAACACCTTCACATGTGAGATTTTCCAAGACTTCCCCCTTACTAGAAACATGTGTTTGCTCTCCTCTAGCCAGCCACCAGAGGGGGATGGTTACTAGCTGAGACCTTACCGTGTCGTGGTGATGTTATTAAAAATGGGCAGATTCGCATTGTGCATAACATGAGACCTTCTCACGCGCTCTTATTTAAGTGCTGTTAAAACAGTTGTCTGGAGCATAGGGGAAGGGTGCAATCGAGCTGGATGCTGACAAAGAAATAAAATTATTCCCAATTCACCAAGAAATTCGAACACAAGCAGGTTGAAGCTTGGCCGTGGGCATAACTAGAATTAAAGGAGGCCGGACAGCTGTGTTGCTCATGTCACGCGTTAACATACATTGGGTTCAACACCTGCTGACTTAGGGACCAGTCCAAAACCCAGTGCAGTTGCTGGAAAAGCAGGGAGTCAGGACACCTGGGGCGGTTTTCAATTACTTCTACCATTCATGGTGGTCTTGGCAAAGTGTCAGTTAGCATGAGGTGGGCTTCAGCGGGGGTTGGAGTTATATGCCCCGAATCATACAGATGCCAGGTTCATTGCACATCCATACGGATGTCAGGTTCATCCCACCTCCATACGGATGCCAGGTTCATCACTCAGTCAGCAATGCATTTGTGATGGCACAGCCATAAGCGGGGCCACGTGTCTAAAACATACACCTCGGAGGCTGCAGAGAGGCAGCGCCACCCATCTGGGCTCTGCACCAAGCCCTGGGTTGCCTACTACATTTAAGGCTCAAGCTGCAACCTACCGGATATCTTCACTGGACATTTGGGTGTAAACCAGATTGAGCTTCACAATATTATATCTCAATAGCTCATCAACCGGGACCGTTCTCCCCACTGTTTGCTGAAACCCAGGAGCTACGGACTGAACAAAGGACCTCATCTCATCCTCCAGCCACAGGACCTGTGGGTGACAGCAACAGGGAGTGAGCTAAGGCTGACTTTACTCAGCAGCCCCTGCCTCCCGCATTCACAGATTCACAGAAATTTAGGGCTGGAAGGGACCTCGCGAGATCATCGGGTCCAGCCCCCTTGCTCTGGGCAGGAATACTGCTGGGGTCATTAAAACATGATAGACAGACCCAGGCAGACCCTCTGTGGCCCTTGTCATGTGATCCTTTCATTGTGGGATCTCACAGCATCTGGCACATGTTCATTAAGATTTGTGTTGCCTACCATGAATCTTACACTTCGCTCAGGGCCCTGCCTCACAACTAATAATGCCCATAAAAGCAGTGGTGCTACTCAATGAGCAGCTGGGCAAGGGAAGGATGCTAGAGTCCGGCCTTTGGGAATTATGTCTTTAAAAGGTGCTGGGTCCCTGGGGAAGTCCGTCAATAAAGCTGGATGAGCCACATCCTTGGTGGTGAAGTCAGTGGTGTGACACTGTTTGACACCCCCTCATGCCCTAGCTACACCTGAACCTACACATGGCACCAGGAAGGGAGAGCGACATCGTCATACCAGATGGGGCTTAATCCCCGAGTCGCTGATCACTTCCAGCGTCCTGTTGATCCACGTGTTCCTGTACGGATGCTGCTCCGGGGGACGGTAGAGATCAAAGATCACGAGTTTATTCTGACGCTCGGCCAGGCTTAAGAAATGACTTAGTTTGTAAACGGACTGATTCATGGCCTGTTTCTGTTCTGCCACTGACAGCGTGCCCATATAGGAGAAGGGTCTGTCCTAGAAAGAAACAGATACCCAGGGAAATACATGAATTCATCCTGGCGGAGAGGGCAGCATGCAAATAGGTCATACATCTCGATGACAGAAATAACCTGGCATTGTTGCTCCGCGGGGTAGAAGCTTGCACTTCCCTAGGGGGCTGCTCTACTTTTCGTCTCCTGCCCCTTGTCGGTATTAAGGTATTCTCTCCATTAATCCCTACTTAATATTATGAGCCCAGGTCTTGGATTCCTAGCAGCTGGGAGGCGGCCACATTCAAAAAACTGGGTCAGGACAATGAAAGCATTAGTGCGGCCACGCTGAGGGGCACCCAGGACGGGGAGACGTGGGTGGGCACACCTAGGGTCGTGCAAGCACTGCCACCCATTCCTAGCGGTGAAACTGACTAGCAGCCATCAATTTCACCGTTGCTATTAAGGAGCAGAAGCCGGATACCAAACCTTTGTGCAGTTCCCCCATGGATAAACCCCATCCCAGGAGCCGAGTCTGTGTGTGACCCTCTGGTCCCAGCAGTGCCCGCAGTGCAATGTAGGCTGGTCAGAGCTAACTCGGGGCCCAGCTTCTTGCACCAGAGGGTAGAGCTGCATAGTGCGGCCCACGGTGTCAAGGGAGCCCGTGAGCTTCTGCATAATTATTAAGCCACATCCAAACACTTCCATTGACTTTAGTGGGAGTAAGATGGGTGCCTGTCCTCAGCCACACCCTGTCCAACAGAGGGACTCGAGGAAAGCCCTTGAACAAGTCCTACCTCCAAAAACCACTTCCCAGCATTCAGGTCTTTTAGGGTGTCCCAAGAAAACATGGCTGCATCTTGAGTAGCATTGTGGGGAACGACTTCCTGGATGTTTGTGGTCCTTTTCAAGCTGCCGTCATGCATCAGGAAGGGAATCCCATCGTAACTAGTGCAAAGAGAGAGGACCGTTCACTGGGCAGACAGCTTCGTTCAGGGAGTGTAGCCAATTACATGCAAGTGATGTAAACAGCAGGCCTCCCTTCAGATCACCGTGCCGGGAGTAGAAGGCCTTATGGCCTTATTGGAGGCAATGTGGGTCAGGGCACTGCACTGAGACTCAGGAAGCCTGGGTTTTACTCCGATCTCTGCCAAAGGCTTGCTGACTTTGGAGAAGTCACTTCTCTCTGTGCCTCAGTGTCCCCATCTGTAAAATGGATGTAACGATCTTAGGGCCGGCTTCCGAAGAATAAACATGCGGTGACATTGAGCCAAATTCCACTCTTCCTTACACCAGTGTAATTCTGGAGTGGTTCCTGGACTTCAGCAGAGCAAATCTGGGGTCACTGTGACAGCAGAAGGCTTTTGCCCTTTACAAAACTCCCGCTCAAATTAAGCATGTAGGCATGTGTTTCCATGCCTTACCCCTTACCTAATAGCGACATCTGTCTCAAGCCCGTTCACCCCATATTCAATGGCCTTCTGAAATGACATCTCAGTATTTTCTGGAGCCATCTAGTAAGACAAGACACAAGGACATGCTGTGTTCAGAAGGTATCAAGGACTCTTTAGGATGCAGTGTTGCTTGATAACACATACACGCATGTGTGCACGTGCAATAAATCATTACTTTGTTAAAGATAACTTTGGCCACCAAGTGAAAACCTGTTCCACTTCCTTCCAGCTCAGGTACCATCAAAGGCTCTAAGATTCAAGATCATTTTAAAACTTGATGGAGGGCAGGGAAAGACCTAGTCCATAAAACAATTTTAAGCAATATTTAAGCAGAGTGGGAGCTCTCTTTCATGGTTTATGTTCCTCCTTCAGCCTCCAGCATGGAGGTGGATCTTCATTTCCCTTCTCACCTTCCCACACTCTTCCATTTCTCTGCTGTTAACAACATATCCACCCTTCCTGCTGTGCAAACAGAGGTTGATTTAGGTTCCTTCCTCTCATCAGCTCACACCCAGCTTCTCACCAAATCATGCCGCAGTGGCTTTCTTCCCTGCAGTCCCAGCCACCAAGATGTGAGTCCCATTCTCTACCTTGACTGCAGTCGCCTCCCAGCCCAGCCCTCCACTCTCCCATCTCTGCCCATCCCACCTGACACACTGCCACCAAAAACAGCCTCGTCCCCCACCTCGTCCTTTTTGGAGTCACTTCATTGGCTTCTCATCTTCTTCCATGTAAAGTTTTAGCTTCTGCTCCTCGCCTGCCAGGCTCAGCCAGCTAATACCTCCAGCGCTGCCTCCCTCTTTTGCCACAATCTAGGCCTACTCCCTGATCCTTTGCCCAACAGCCATTTCAAACTTCCCCCCTTGTCCCACCCCTTGCCCCTTTGCATGCTGAATGCAACATCGTAGTGGCTGTAAGCTTTGACTCTGAAATGCCATACTGCTGTAGGCAGACAAAGTTATTTGGGTATATCTATAATAGACCAACTCAAATAGTTGGAAAAATTCTTCTTTGCAAGCTTTCAGGTATATATACCCTTCATCAGGCACAATACTCGAACTTCGTCAGGCACAATACCCAAAAGCTTGCAAAGAAGCATTTTTCCAACTATTTCAGTCGGTCTAATAAAAGAGATCAGATTTAGCCAAAGAACGTTGTCTGCCTATGTCCTCAGACCAACACAGCTACAACCTATGCCCATGTTGCTGTAGGGATGCTGATGGGTCCTGGCAAGAAAAGCATGCAGGACTTTTCCGAATCAAATATGTTCCCCTCACAGACTCACCATGAAGCTCTTGGGGGAAAATATAAAATAGCAGCTGCAATCCACCTAATACAAGAACGAGACAGAACGCCTTCCCCAGACCTACCATTGGCGCGCCTCTGTGTCCAATGAGAGTTGGCTTGGGTCCCAGCGTCCCCACTTCTCTGATGCAGGGAGAGTACATCCCCAGAGGTATCAAGAGAAGAAAGACAAGGAGAGCCAGGTAGGGGCCAATAATTATCATCTGAACAACTAAAAGAATCCAAGAATTCAAAGGAGGAAGTTATTACATTTGATAAGATTGGAGCGTGCCTTGCAGTTTGTTTTATATCAATGTCCTATCAAAGAGCTTGGGCCAAGACTGATCATATGAATCATCGACTCCTCTTCCCCCCAACTGCCTTCTTTCCTTTATTCTTCATTTTATCACCAGATAGTGCCACAGGCCAGGCCAGGAAAGGAGTGTTGCCCTGTGGCCAGAGCAAATAGCTGGGATTCAGGATGCCTAGTTTATGCTTTGAGGTCTGCAACTAACTTGCAGTGTGACCTTGAGTAAGTCTCGATCTCTGCCTCAGTTTTCCCAACTGTAAAATGGGCATGGCGAAATTTACCCAACCTCAGAGGAAAGGTCCTATTTTCAGGCTGGACATTAAATTATCAAAGTAATGCCAAGCGGTGTTTTAAGTTTCACTTGCATGGAAAAGGAGGATGCTGCAGCCGAGACCTCCATCACTCTGCACCTGAGGGCAGATGCTTGCCTTGCAGGTCAGGCTGTTGTCCATCCTTTCCTAAAGCTGGGGTCAGTTCCAGTGTGTTAGAGTGGCCTGCTCTGGGTCCCAGGTCCTTGGGTTTCCTTGGCCTCTATGGCCCGGGTATCTGCCTCCATCTTTAGATGCTGTGTCAGTGGGCAGCAGCCATTTGCTCCACCACAGATAAGCTACTGGCTCTTAAAGCACTCTTGTGCAGATATCCCTGCCAAGCGCATGCTGCTGAATGGGTGGCGTTGCGTTTGCAAGTCACTCGGGAAGCATCTGACTCATGCTCCTATTGCACCGCACAAGCTGTCTTCAAGCCTACACTGAGGCTGTTCCACCTGCTCTCCCCTCAGCTGAGGGGCTCCAGGCACGAATACTGAGCTGGGAGACAAGGATCTCACGTTTCCACTCCCTGTACCATAATTTGGGGTACAAAGGAGCACTTACTCAGACACTTGGCTGTCCCCATGAACAGTATCAGGGAGAGCTGCTAAGATCAGTGGGTCTAATGATGGCATAATTAAAATGATATGATAACATATCATGGTAGCAGTTATAAATATTAATTTGCTTTATATACCACAGCTAATTAATGCTCACAATTCCTCCAGGAAGCAGGCAAATGCAAATAAAATAGCTGGAGAAACTGAGTCAGAAAGAAAGAGACCGTGCTAAAGCCAGAAGCTCTTAGCCCCTGGACTTTTGCTCAAGTGCCTAAGCAGTGGGTCCAACCTTTTTGTCAGGCATGCCGCAAATTAGCCCCACACCCTCTCTGAGCACCACTCTGATTGCCTTTCCCTGCCTGATCTCCTGCTCTGCTTGCTGTCCCCTCCCCAGTCGTCTACGTGCCCTGCAGCCTTTCTATAGCAGCCTTCAACTCCCTGAAGCGTGGTTGCAAAGGGGCAAAGGGGATGGAGTTGAACTGTTCTCAGTGGGGGCAGATGACAGAACAAGGAGCAATGGGCTCAAGTTGCAGCAGGGGAAGTTGAGGCTAGGTATTAGGAAAAACTTTCACACAAGGAAGGGTGTGAAGCACTGGAAGAGGTTACCCAGTGAGGTTGTGCTATCTCCATCCTTGGAGGTTTTTAAGTAGCAGCTCCACAAAGCTTTGGCTGGGTTGATGTAGTTGGGGCTGGTCCTGCTTGGAGCAGGGGGTTGGAGTAGATGTGACCTCCTGAGCTCCCTTCAAACCTCATTGTCTATGATTGTATGCACAGAGGCTGTCCGTACCACTTATGGCACTCGTGCTCCTGGTTGGCCACCCCTGGGCTAGACAATACTTCCCTGAGCAATAAATAAAGGAAGGCAAATCACTTCCTTAGCAGCTACAGTGCTCAGGCCTCCCCACATGCACCATCTCAGTTGCCTCCTTCATGCTTATTGCTCTTTATACTAAGGAAAATCACTGTGGAAAGGGAAAGGACTGCTGGTGCTGAAGCTTGAAGTGCAAAGCTGCAATTGCCCCTTTGTGGTAATGTGCACAGGGGACTTGCAAACATGACAGCACCAGAAGGGCTAGAGCCAGAGGCACGCGTGGGTTGTCCTAATGCCTCGCACACCAGGTGGCTTTTCAGTGTGTGCCATTTTCTTTATGCCAGGAGCAAAGTTCTCCCTAAGACATTAGACTGCTAGTTAATAAGAGTCCATCCTGCGTCCAACTTTGGTTGGCCAAGCTGAAGATACAGCCAAGGCCCCAGGGGAACCTATCATTAAATCACCCAGGGACGGACCAGGCAGACATCCCTCACTTTGATGATGGAGCTGAAGAGGAGGAGGCCTTGCTCAAAGGCCTGGAGGAAGAGGAAGCTTGTAAACAGTGTTTATGGGTCCCTTGAGAGGAGGAATGGGGAGAGAAAACATGCCCATCTTGGCACTGTGGCTACTCGGATCCCTGTCTGGCCACCTGCTGATTCTGCTGAGCTGCTAATGCAGCCACCTGTCACCAGAGGAGCAGCCCAGAGAGACACTGCACCCGGCAGAGCCGGGCAAAAAAGAAGGGACTTGGACCCTGCCTCCCTCCCCAATTCACCTTACCCTGAGGGTCTCCCATGAAAAAGGCTTCCTCATTAGCCCTGGCCTGTAACCCCTTCACTAAGGTCTAATAGAGCTGGACCATAGGGGAGCGACCTAAGGGATGCGATTGTAGGGCCCAAGTCTTGCTGGGTTGTTCAAAGGCCCCGCACAGCTGGGGCGCAGGTGTCTGCAGCAAGGACAACTCAAGGGCTGGCGCTCCTATGCGATCATGTTCCCACATGGTCATAAACATGTGACAGCAACAGCATCCCTGAGCCAAACTGCACTGGTATGGGAAATGTTCTTGCTGGAAATGTCTACCCAGGGCATTGGCATGGGAAGGGGAGGGTGTGGAGGGCCTGGGCAACCACCTTCCAAGAATGAGACCCCTTGAAAGACATCTGAAACCGAGCCATGCAAACCCATTCCCCATTTCTGAGAAGCGTGGCCTGTATCCCCATCTCTGCCATGCACACAAAACAGAGTCGAGGACACCCCCACAGACCTCCTGTACCTTTTCTATCCATCCGGACAGCATGCAGAGCCACGGGCCAGGACAGAAAGACCATGGCTGCTATGGCGCCAACGTGGAGATAGGGAGCTGTGACCTGGTAGGAAGACAAAGCATTGCTGTGAAAAGCTGCAGAAACAAATAGTTCCTACTTAGCCCTCGTATGTTTGAGCCCTACTACTGATAGGGCCAGTCGAGCTATCCCTCCACATCCAAGGGTCACTGCTAAGCTTCTTCTCCAAGTCCACACCTGGCTTGGGTGCATGCAGCACCTCTTGGCAACCTTTAGAAAATGCCTCTCCCCTTGATTTTCTGTATCCCATGGAGGATCAGCTGTTCCAGCCAAGGAGAATCAGCGTGATCCTCCCAAATCAGCAAAAGCTAGTCCAGGAAAGCCAATCACAATACTGTTCTTCCCCCAAGGGCTCATTGTGTGGTGCTGAGCTCCCCATTTGCTTTTTCTATGCTCCCATTGCCATAGCATGCAAGTCCAGAGACCACGTTGCAAATGTCACTGCTTACTAAGATTGGGTGGCCATCCTCGAGACAAGAGGAACATAGAGCTGGAAGGGGTCCCCAGGTCCATCAAGTCCAGTCCCACTCAGGTAATCACTAAGCCAAGGAATCCCTAAAATCATCACATGAAACCCCAGTACACCACTGCAAAGCACAAGACCCAGGACCCCAGGTACAGCTCACAAGAACCCACAGCTGAGAGCCAAGGGAGTGGAGGGCACTGCCAATGTCTTGCCAGAAAGAGGCTCCTTCCCCTGCACTGGAGAGGAAAACAAAACCCACCCCAGGTCCTTAATAACGTGGCCTCAGAGTAAAATTCCTTCTGGCCCCAAATGTGGCGACTGGTATTACCCCAAGCAGAAGAAACAAGGGTTTCTAGCCAGAAACCTGAGGTTTCTAAGTATTTGGGTGTACCCCAGTCCACACCTTCCCCGTCTTAGTTGTGTCTAATGTAGAGCTTGACTGCAAGGCAAAATGGCATCCCCCGTTCCTCCAGTATTAATGAAGGGAAGAAAAGATTCCCTCCTGCCCCTCGCTGTGGATCAGCAAAAGTCCTGAAGCATGGGATTAGCTACAAGTCGACAAAGGTATACCCATGACCAGGGCCTGCACTTACTTGATTCCCAATACTGCACATGCTGATTGCTTAACTAAGAACCCCTTGTCTTATCTTCCCATAAAGTTATTCAAACCGGTTCAGGTTCTTTGGCCCCACTAACCTGACTGAGAAGTTCATTGCAAAACTTCATGCTTTTGATATCTGGACATCATCTAGCTTCCACTCAGTAGCCAATTTGTGGCCATTTGATCCTGTGCCAGGGGTGCTTTACATCCTAAAAACTCTTCTCCCTCCTTAATATTCCACACTTGAATGTACTTGTAAAGAGTGATCTTATATTCTCTAAAGGGTAATTATAGTCCCAAAATGAGTGATGACATTTAATCTCCAACAGTACAATCACATTAACTAGTGTCATTGTAATAGCTCCAATTAATCCTGTTTGCCCAATCAGTCCTCCAGGGGGTTAACCCTTGAGACCCCTTTGAAGCTCACCATTCTGTGATGTTCCTGGTCTAATTCATTAATAGTCTGCAGCATAAATTTGCAATGCACAAAAGCCTTCACTCCTCTTCATTCAAATAAAGCACTTGGTCCCAGGCTTTTTAGCTCCATTCCACTTGGATTCAAATGCATTTCTAGCTGTTTCTTTATTTTTAAGCTTCAAATTTGTGACCTTGGGAATCTTTCTTGCTTTTCCAGCACAAAATAGCCAGCTGCTGTAATGCTCATGTCTCATCAGCTGACTATTCATGAGGACCGGCTGTCGCCTGCGTAAATGAGTTCTGACTCAAAAGGATAAACTCTTCAAAGGGTCAGAAGCTTCACTGCGCGTATCATGAATATACAAAAGTGGCCTGGAAATCTCACAAAACTATTCTCTTTTGCTTTGCCCTGAGAGGGTTAAGTTCTTCACTGCGATGTATGCCGGTGTGACTCCATGGAAGTCAAGGGAGTTGCTTCTGCAGAGAACTGGAAAAACGTAGCAGAGCATCTACCACTTTTTCTTTCGTGCTATTCTGACACTCGGTCCATTTTAAAACCTGGACCTGCCGAAATTCACAGTAGGAAAAAACACTATCCAAGCTCAAAATGGTTTTATGCTGCATTTTTTTCTTTCCGTTAGTCCAAGGCTGCCTAACTGGTGGCCTCCAAAGGGTTCACCTGCAGCCTCCAGGCCCCCAGCTCCCTCCATCACTCTCCTGCTGCTGCCTTCAGAGTCTCCAGGCTCCCCCTTGCTCTTTCAGCTTCTGTCTCCTGCCCCTACACCTAAGGGTGGAAGGGCAGAGCAGGGCAGCCCCTGGGGCTGAGAAAGCCCACAGCCAGAGCACCCTGGGGATCCAGAGCATAGGTGCAGCAGCGGGGAAGCCGGTGGCATGGGAGTGCTGGCACAGTGCAATGGGGAAGTGCCCACCATGCAGCATGGCAAGGGGTAGGGGCACATGACCTGGTGTGGCATGCAACCAGGGGGCATGCAGCCCTTGCATCATGTAGCCAGGGGATGTGGACAGGCCTGGGTTAGTCCATACAATAATAGCCAAAACCAATGCAAATCCACGGAGTCACTCCATCAGCTGCAGCGCTAACAGACCCAGCCTCAAACTTCCTACAGAAGACATTGTCTCGACATCTCCAAACACCCTTTCAAATGCTGAGCTCAAGTTTGATTCCAAAACTGGGTAGGAGCTGCTGCTGAGGAAGCTTATTTTTACCCATTTCTCCATCTCTATATCTGGACTCGCAGACATTTGATGGAGAGTAACTTCTACAACAGGTTGGGAAATGCATGAACCTCTGGAAATTCTCCCTGGAAAATCAGTTTCCACTGGTTTTACCAGGGCAGAGAGGTGACACATCAAACAAAATCGCACCAAATGAAAAAATGCTAAGCAAAGTGGCCGCATGCCTTAGCACGACTGCCGTTCTTCCAAAGATGCCAACCCTCTGTGCCATTATCACTGTGCTGGTGGCACGGGCATGCATCTGCACTCAAGAATGGAGTCTTTTCACCCGTAATGCTCGTTCAGGCTATTCCTGGACCCTGACTCTTTGTTCCCCACTCACTCAAGGCCATAAAGGGCTGAGCTGGGCCAGCTTTCCTGCAATTCTTTCACCCATATAGAAACCAGGAATAGAAAGCTGTAGCAGTAGAGGAGGAGGATGGGCGGTTGGATACATATAGACAAAGTCAACACAGCGCAAGGAACCGCAGTTACTGTAAGGAAGCTATTTTTAGCTATTCAAGTGTTTGTCCATAATTATCCTATTTCTAGTGCCTCACACACAACAACCTGATGTGTGGGCAGGTGCTCAGAGCCTCGCTAATTAACAGCTGTCAGACAGCCCTGCTAAAATGGGCATCTGGCCTCAATGCATGTGCAAGGGAATAGCACCGGGGGAGAGTCCATACAGTCCCCAGGTAACTGCTCTACATATTTCGCCAATGGGAAAACATCTGAAAGAAGCTGTAGAAGCTTCCTGATAACTAGTGAAGTGCGCTTGGACCTGACCGGGATGTTGTACACTAGCCAGAGGAGAGCATGGTTGAATAAAGTCCAAAATTCAGGTTGGTAATCAATAGAGACAATGTGGTGGCAAAGGCAGCGAGACCCTGAAATGATTTGGGTCTCTCAGGTGGAATAAAACAGCTCCAAATACATCCAAGGGGTGAAGTCTCTCCTCTTGCTTTTTTGGGAGCTCCTGACCACAACCGTGTCCTTGTAGAAGACAGCGGGTCTACTGTGAATGCCCTCCACTGCCTTACTACATGGGCAAAAGTGACCACTGCTACGAAGGGTGTCTTTGCTAAGGGATGGTATAAAAAAACTATGGTGCTAAGGTCTCAAAATGGGGACCCATCACTAGGAGTCCAGGATGGCGGGGGTGGGAGACAGGGGGCAATTCTTGCACTGGTGGAAATACAAGCATTAGGCCATTAAGGAACTTAGCCCCTGTAGCATGTGAGGACACTATGAGACCCTGCACAGAGAGATGATGAGCTGATCTAGCTGAAAGGGGGTGGGGAAGGTAGGCTGGGATGGAGACGCAGAGTCTGGAACAAAATAGAGTATCAGAGCTTGAATCTCTCTTGGACAGGGCCATCCAACAGGATGCTGCTCCAAACCCCCTGGAAATAGTAGGAATAGCCCCAAAATGGAGTGGAGAAAAGAGTAGGCATCACTCAGGCATAGATCTAGGCTGAACCCTCGAACCACCTGCCTCAAGGTGGATGCAAGTCTCCCTGCTGAGGAAGCAGTGATGGGCTAACCCCATGGAGCCTCCACTTCTTCCTTAGGGGCTCAGAGGGTCTTTGGCATGGTGACCAAGAGTAAGGAGATATCTGCCTCAAAGAGGTCTGGTGCCCTGTCGCTTCCCTCTTGAGCTGTGCGGTATAAGCCCCTGAGGACTTGGGGATGGTCTTCAAAGGAGTGTCTCTCAGGCACTTGTCAGGTTTGTAGCTGCACAGAGAAGAGTCCTCGACATAGAGGCCTTCTACTGTGGTCCACGGGGATCCCCCGTGACATCCATTGCAGTCACAGCCATTGCCACTGATCTTGTTGCAGTGTCGGAGGCATTGGCGCCAGCCTGCAGAGAGGTCTTCCCTACTACTTGTCCCTCAGGATCAAGGACCATCACTGCTCTGTGTCAGCAAAGTCTGTACCAGACAACTGGCAGCCCACAGGCCACATGCAACCCACAAGGAGCTAACATGCTGCCCCTGGGCCATGTGCTGGGCTCCTCTGCCTTTCCCCGGCTTCAGCTACTGGACCCTGCTCCACAGGATGGAGTGGGACAGCATGGAGCAGCTTGCAGAGCTGGGTGAGCTGGCAGCCCCAAGCCCCCATGCACCGCGGTGCATTGCGGGAGCTTAGGGAGCTGCAGGTGAGGTGGGTGCTGCACTGCATGGGCTGAGATCCTACCGCCCATACACCATGCAAGAGTTGGGGAGGCATGTGCATGCATAATGTAACCCTGCACTAGTGCAGCCCCAAGGCTTGTGGCCCCCGGGAGCCGGACACAGCCCTGCTTTGTGCCATCAGAGGCAGTCACTTTGAGGGAGCTGGTCAAAGCCGGAGACGGGCAGAAAAGTCTCAGAGAGATCCAGAGCCTTGGATCCAGACAATAACTTGACACCTCCGCTGGAAGGAAAACAGCATGCAGTAATGCCATGGTGGAGCTCACAAGTGCAACACGAAGTGGAGACACTGCTCACAGCTCCAGCTGGTAGCAAAGGAAAGGGACTGAGGATCAACTGGGCCTGCTGAGGGATGGATCCAGACGGGGTGCAGATTGCACCCCCGCTTTCTGACCGTGCTGCTGGAGCACCAGCCAGGGATTTAAGTCTCAAAGAAGGGAAGCATTCCCGTGCTCCCTTCCCCTCTGCGCTCAGAGGCACATCCCTTCCCTTGTCCTCCCTGCCTGCTCCAGCTGGGCTGCATGGGGGCAGCTCTCAGCCTGGGATTGTGCAGTGGTGGCAGCAGACAGGCACACTGCCCCTCCATGCCTGCTCCCCTGGGTGTTCACTGCCAGCCCAGGAGCAGGCACAGGGCAGGGGAACATGCCCCCTGGCCACTGCCCGAGTCCCCAGTGACAGCAGCCCAGCTGGATTGGGCAGGAGCTCCTCTCACCCCCAGGATAGCACCCAGCAGTGCAGGCAGGAGAAGGGGGGGATGGGGGAAGGAGGGACAGGGAGAGGAGGGAATGTGCCTCTGATCATGAAAGGGGAGGATGCTTACCTTGCCTGGGACTTAAGTCCTCAGCTGCTGCTTCTGCAGTGCTTGACACCTGCACCAGCACGGAGGAGCAAGGGAGGAGGCCCTGCAGCCGCACCCCACTTTGTAAAATCATGGATCCGTTGCTGGTCCCAATTCACCCTTTATGCCCTGGGGCAGGGTAATCGGGACATGCAGCATGAGGGTCCAGCCCCAGCAGATGCTACAGGCCAGGAGGTCCTGATCTCCTGCAAACCAGCTGAAGTGGACCGTCACTACCAACAAAACCACAAAGAAGCCATACTGACCATTCGGATTGAAACATCTGGTGCAAAATGGGAAGGGAAACATGGGGCTGTGAATTTACTGTACTGCACACACACCCTTTTTCTCAAAAAAAAAATCAGCCTCCCACAATTGGGATACATGCCCTAAAGACGGGAAATTGGTTTTCTTTGCCAGGATAGCAGCAAGGAGGAATAGAAGCATGAAGACACCATGTTATAAAATGGCCCCCAGCTTCTCTCCCTGCCAGCAAGCAGGAGGGGCAGAGTCCGGTGTTAACCCTTTCAAAGCTACTATAATTTGATGCTCATCCCAATATCACTTGAGATTATTGGAGGTGTAAATCAAGGCAGAATTTACCTAATAAATTGAATAGATTTCATAGACATAAGGGCTGGAAGGGGCCTCGGAAGATCATTGAGCCCAGCCCCCTGCCCCAAATTCAAAGGCTTTGGGCCAAATTCAGACCTCGTGCAAATGGCTGCAGCTCTACTGATGTCCAGTTGCTCATTTAGCCAGGTATCCGCCCTGAATCTGGAAATAATTTCTTTCTACACGCCGCCTTCCAGAACTAGGGTGTGCGTCTCATTGGGGTGTGAGATATATGCAAGGAAAAAAAAGCTACGTCTTGGAGCAAAACTTTTTTTCATGTCTATGCCCCTGAGCGGGCAAATAAAACATAACTGAAACCGGCATTTTCGTGTGGAAAATCTGATTCCGAGTAAACTGCATTGTCTAATGGGAAAATGTATCAATGGAAACAAAATCAACTCTTGCTTTCCCGTCTCTGCCTTTGGGGACATGGAGTTTCCCTCCTTTCTTACCTGGAATGAAAGGCGGACGGTTTTCCACTGATCCCCCCACAGCTCAGATAATGCAGCGATGGCAGCTATGGAGAATCCCAGTACAACGCAAGTCCCGATCTGGAGGGGAAAACAGGACATCACATAGCTGCAGGATGTCTGCACGGCAATTGCGATTCATATTTATGCACACGCTGCCCTCACTTCTTGTTGCCTGGTGGGTTATAAATGTGGCTTGAACTCTAGAATATCTTCCACACGATAGCATAGTACATGGCTATCTGGGCTGGCCCAGGTGGGTTAGAGGCAGAAAAATCAAACGGGGGTAAAAACAGGCTGCTACTGGGGGGTAGAGGTTCTCATTGGTTGGACCTGTTGTGACTGAGGATGACTTGGGTGATGCTTTAGGTCAGCCAACGTCAGACCCAAATTACAAGTGGTCTCTTATGTCACAGGTAAACTGTTCTAGAGATTTGCCCTCTCTAAATGATTTTCCCAGTCAATTAGCACTCTTGGAAGGGTTATGAATTTCTTCCCACCCAGAAGCAGAGACAAAATGCTCAGCAGCAATACAGACCACCTTGTGCTGCTTCCCAACCATGTGGCTCAGGGATGAGATGGTTAAAGTAGAAGAGTAGGGAAGTGTCCGCCAAGCCAGAGGTTCAGGCCTTGTTAAAATAACTGGAGAGGACTACAGTATTTGCTAAAACTCCCTGAAAACTGAGAAGCAGCCAAGCTGGCAATGCCCGGTACTTTTGAAGAAGACAACATGTTTCACCCACTGAAAGTGGGAGCTTATAAAATACCCGATTTGTGTAATAGCTTTGGAAACCATGTATCCCTTGCAAGAGTAACCCCCCCTGCAAGAAATATAGTCAGCTGCTTCACAGTTGTTAAAGGCTATTCCAGGAACAAATTCATCACTGATTTTTTGCATGTTCACAGAGCAACAAAAATGATTAGGGGCCTGGGAAGCATGGACTACAAGGGAAGGCTGAAAGAAGTAGGGGTATTTATAGTCTGGAGTAGAGAGAACTGGGGAAGGATTTGATAACAGTCTTCAAATGCATGAAGGGTGATTACAGATAAGATAAGATGTAGCATTGGCCATAGGGGCTGGGACTAGGAGCAATGGCCTCAAGCTTCAGCGGGGGAAATTTAGGCTGGAGATTAGGAGGAACTTTCTGAGGTGGTCGAGGACTGGAACGGGCTACCTAGAAAAGTTGTGGAATCGCCATCCTTGGAAGTTTTCAAGAGCAAGTTGGACAGAGACTTGGCTTAGTCAGGGACAATCCTGGCTTGAGTAGGGGGCTGGACTAGATGACTTCATGAAGACCCTTCCAGCCCTATGATCCTATGTTCAAACTTATGGACAAAAGGTCCTGCCAGTCACAACTAGAAGTAACCCAACCTCTTTCTTGAACTTATTTGCACCAGTTGCAACCAAAGGAGCCAATGATATCAATGCGCATCCCTTGTACTGAGAAACAACTTCAGCTATCAATGGCACTAGGAGCCCAACCCATTCTGCATACAGCACTAAAGAGCCATTGATAGGAAGGACTTTCAAATATTACCCATCTGGGCTGGATGTGTCAGCTAGCGTGCCAATCACAGGCTTCACAGCCAATCCCCAATTCCTTAAGCAGTTGAGGCATCCGCCCTCAAATGACTTCCACAAAAAACTAGATGTCTTTTGTATTTTCAGCATTGAAAGGGAATAATAGAATTATACATGTTAAATGGGGGAGAAATTCAAGTGACACAATCATCTGTCTAATCAGTGTAGGATCTGGATCCATTTTACATTCTCGCATAAGCTTAAGTGAAGGCTGCATTTGAATAACGCCCATGACATCGTTCTGAAAATTTCCCTTGGAAGATGAAATCCAGAGCGGCCTTGGCAGCGGAGGACATTTGAAAATGGTTTTGCATGTACCATGCCTCTATGCATTTAAGGAACCTGGGTGGGATCACAGAATCACAGAAATGAAGGGCTGGAAGGGACCTCAAAAGATCATCGAGTCCAACCCCCCTGCTCTGGTGTCTGTCCAGTCTCCTTTTGAAGACTTCCAAGGTTGGGGACTGCACCACCTCCTTGGCAAGTCTAGTCCAGATTCTCTAAAGCACCAAAAGGATTTGGGAGCACAAGTCACTGTGCTTTAGAAAACCTCACCTTCTATCTGCAGGGAGGTCAGCTATTTGGTTTGCACTTTCTCTCTCTCTCTCACTCACACACACACACACACACACACAGATTTTGTTGCTTCTGTTCAAATTTCTTAACTGAGAAGAATGGTCATGTCGCCCAGAAGACAGCTATTTTGGTCTTTGTGTAGGGACACAGCACTGACGTGATCTAACTGTGCCAAAGCAAGGATTTAGAATTGCCCGAATGACTCAACTCTTCCCACCTTGTGACTCCAGTGCAGGTACAACTGCTGGCCTTCCGACAGCAAACACATTGCTAGGACCTGTGAAATCAAACCAACACGTACATTTGCAAGTGTTTCATCCCATTAGAACCTGGTTAAATGCTGTCCGGTGACGTCTGTTCTCAAGACCTTATGTCTCTGAAGACAGGTGTGGAATTATACTGCATGGCACATTTTGAATCAAGCATTACCAAGCCCGTACTGCCCAGGAAGCCCTTCCTCCAGAGGTCTCCCAGTTTAACCATATGTCTGTGCGACCCCCAGCAACTACCATCCCTGGTCAGGGGAGTAGCAAGTACTGCTTAAGTGAGTCTTGGGGAACAATTTAATGGAAAAGGGGGGATGAGCAACCATCTGTGAACTGCATCAACATCTGTCAGAAACAAGAACAACATGAATGCAGCTCTTCCTTCTTTTTATCCTTAACACACAAGTCCTATGCCCTATGGCTTTTCCATCTGGATGGCTAGAGGCACGTCACCCATGCAGCAGATCTCTGCATAAAGTCGCTGCCCAAGGAGAAGAAATGCAAACAGCGCATTCAACCAAGCAAATGCAAAGCAGAGGCATGGCAGAAAGAAGGCACCTTTAAGAGAAAGCATCTTGGCCAGGTGGGGCTGGTACAGCACATTCTGTGAGCTGTGTTTAAACCCCATAACGGGGGCCTACAAAGCAAGTGCAAGGTAGATCCCAAGGGCATGAGGCTCTGCTATCTTTCCAGGAAGAAATCACAGCTCAATGAGATAAGTAACAAAGAGATGCCTCTAGTACCCTTTTATGCTATTAGGATTCAGGCATGGTACAGATGGCTAAGGTAGCCCTAGTACAACTTCAGTTGTGGTGGGGAACCTTAAACTGTGACAGGACTGAGTCAGGGATAAGGGAAACACCTCCTGAAGGAAGCATGTCCTTGGGGGGGGGTGGGGGGCAAAGGAGGGACACATTATGCAAGCAGTGGTCTGGGGCAATTGTTCTCTGGTACCTCCCCACCTCCCACACATATCTACACCCTGTGTGGTGCATGCCTCCTTCTTCCCCTGTGCATCCCCTACAGCAGAGATGGGGAGGGGTCCTGTCTTTGGCTGTCCTATGCAAGGTCAGTGCTAGCTCCAGCTGGATGCAAAGTTTATAGGGCAGTAGCTTCCAGGAGCTGGGTGCTCCCCTCCCCCAGTACTTCACCTACAGTGAGACAACATGGGTCACTTATGATCCAATTAAAGCACGCTCTGCTTCCAGGCTGGTGCTGATTAGGAGTTATATTTAGCCAAGAGAGATATCTTACATGCAGGTGCTATCAGTAAGAGGACTGAGAGAGAGAATCTCAGTGGAAAACCCAAAGTAGGGACTGAAGCACTCATTGAAACATGAGCACCCTTTAGTCAAATCCTGGCCTTGGTTTGTAATGACTCACCACAGAGAATGAAGTTACTGCCCAATAACTTCATCCAGGAGCTCTGTTCTCCCGTAAGCAAAGTTGCAAATACCTGGGCATTGCCAAGCAGTCACAGCCTTGGCTTAGCCTCATAGAGCCATGGATCTGCCTCCTAGGGGTAAAATATCTGCATCTATCACTCCAGGGCAGTGCATCTAGGAACAGCATGTGTTTATGACTAACACCAGCACCTGTACGTATGCGGGCAAAGAGAAGAATAAGTCAGGTTTCGTGCTCCAAGGGCAAAACTAGTGTCCTGTAGGAGTCCTGGTCAGCAGTCACTGCTGGAGACAAAGTAATGCTGGGCTCTTGTAATATTGCACATCCCACATACCTGTTATGCTTCCTGGACTCCAGCCTCGCTAATCTATCCTTCACCCTTTCTGTGCCACTTTTTACACTCCCCTGAAGAGCTGAACAGCCCCCACAACCAATAGTATATGGCTATGAAGCCCCAGCTACGTCTGTACTAACAAAATTAATAAAAGCATCTTCCGCTGGCGGTGACCCTATCGATACTACAAGTACAAACTAAAAGACTCCCCTACCTGCACACCACTCTTTCATTGCTACCCTCACAAAGGCTGAACTCATTAGCCTGACGTGCAGATAACACCATTGTAGGAAATGGCGATGGGCTGGGATGGTCAGTCCCAACTACCACTAAGCTTCAATTTGATGCTCATCCCAGTATCTCTTGGGATTAGCAAATCCATCTAACAAATTCAAAAGCTTTGGGCCAAATTCAGGCCTGATGCAAATAGTTGCAACTCTATTGATGTCCAGTTGCCCATTTAGTTCAGTGGCAAAGTTGCAGAAGCTCACATATCCCCCATTGAGACAGCAGCTGACTGAACTGTCCCCAACCAGACTTTTGCACTGCTTTTTTCTTCCTGTCAGTCAGGTCTGAGGTGAGATACTTGCAGTCTGGCAGAATCCTATTTGAGCCCAGTGCGTGATTGACTGCAAGTCTCTATTACATGAAAGCCAGTCATGGTCCTATATGGGCATTTTCTCTTATGTGGTTATTTAGCTGAAACCATGGGTTTCTGAAGACTCCCTGCATCTCTGTAACCCATGCTAACACAGGGGATGGGACTTCACACAGGGCTCTAAAGACATGAATCCTGCTGTAGCCAAAAGGACTTCATTCATTAGCTAGGGGAAGAATAAATAGACTCAGTCCCCCGATCATTGAAACGTCTAGCCCTGCTGCATTGCCATGGGTTACATCCCCAGAGCCCTTTGGTTACAAGGGGCTGCACCGTTCAGAGGAAAATTCTCTGTCACCTTTCGTATCACTGAGGAAGGGCATGCTCCTTCAATGCAATGTCTCCCAACCTCTTTGCTGCTAAGGGGTAAGACGCTTGTTTTTGGAAAGGAGGGCTGTTGAAGCGGGAGGACTGAAAACAACCACCCTGATGGGTGCAGATGGAGAGGATCTCTGCCCAGACAATGAAGGCTTTGTACTTGTGCAAAGCGTCACTTGGCTAAAGGGGGGCTGGTGGGAAGGGGAAAGCTTGCTTGAGTGATTCAGAATAAGGAAGCCAGGAGAAGGCCAGGGGTCGATGGCTTGGATTCATCATTAAGGGAGAAGAGGCAGCGTTTGCTAACACAACCAGCGCTGCTAAAAGCTGGCTTCTCTTGGCTACTGAATTGTTCCTTTCAAACGAGAGGGTCAGTGTGCTCTGGTCTCAGCTACCACAAGGAAACAGGGGGTACTGGAAGGAGCTAGACTGGTTGCATCCCTACTGGACCACCTGCATCACGTGCTGATTGGGGGCCAGTGGGCACCAAGGCAGCTGTGCTGACAACAACACTGGTCCTCATCAGGGGAGGCAATACCGCTGGAACGATGACGGCTGATGTGGTTTGGTGACGTCTCCCTTCCCAGGAGTGATCATTTAAAAGACTGTCAGCCTTGGCAAGGGTGGGATGCCCTGAGCCTGCTGTAGGCCATGGGGACCCCAAGCTTGCTGCCACAATTAGCCCCCACCCCTTGCACCTGCCCCTGAAAAACTGCAAGGCAGTTTCCTTGGAGCATGCCCAGGAACAGTGTGGGGCTCTCAGCCCTAGTAGGCATGCCCCTCGTGCATGGTGCTGGGTGTTTCCAGCTCTGCTCTGACAACAACCACACGGCGTTTTGTCAGCATGTGACACATGCAGCCCAGGAGCAAAGGGATGGGGCTTGTTTCACAGCAGTGGTCTTGGGATTGCTGAAGAGATTGCATAGACATGATGTGGACATTGGTATCAGAAGCGGACTGGCCAAGTTTGCCGATGACACCAAACTTTGGGGCAAAGCATCCACACCTGAGGACAGGATGGTTACCAGGCTGACCTTGACAGGCTCAGAAAGTGGGCAGATGAAAACCTGATGGCGTTCAACACCAAAAAATGCAAGGTACTCCACCTTGGGAAGAAAAACCCACGGCATGCTTATAGGCTCGGCAGTGCTACGCTTGCTAGCACCATGGCTGAAAGGGACTTAGGAGTCATGATTGACCACAAGATGAACATGAGCCTTCAATATGATGCTGCAGCTGGTAAAGTGAGCAAAACGCTGGCTTGCATCCATAGATGCTTCTCAAGCAAGTCCCAGGATGTCATCCTCCCACTGTACTCATCCCAGGATGTAACCCTCCCACTGTACTCAGCCTTGGTAAGGCTGCAGCTGGAGTACTGAGTCCAATTCTGGGCTCCACAATTTAAAAAGGATGTGGACATCCGAAAAAACTACTTCACAGTTAGGGCGGCTAGGAGCTGGAACCAACTTCCAAGGGAGGTGGTGCTGGCCCCTACCCTGGGGATCTTTAAGAAGAGGCTGGATACCTACCTGGCTGGACTCATTTGAGTCCCGTTTTTTGTTTTTAGGGTTCTTTTGTTGTTCTCCCGCCCTGGCGGGGGGGCGGGCTAGAAGATCTATTAGGTCCCTTCCGACCCTAAAACTATGAAACTATGGAGAAGCTCGAGAGAGTCCAGAGGAAAGCCACGCGCATGATCAGAGGGCAGGAGAACAGGCCTTGTGATAAGAGGCTGAGAGCCGTGGGACTCTTCAGCCTGGAAAAGCGCAGGCTCAGGGGGACTGGTGGCAGCCTATAAGTACATCAGGGGTGTGCATCAGGATCTGGGGGAACCTCTGTTCACCAAAGCGCCCCAAGGGATGACAAGGTCAAACAGTTACAAACTCCTCCAAGACCGTTTCAGGCTGGACATAAGGAAAAACTTCTTTACTGTCTGAGCCCCCAAGGCCTGGAACAGACTGCCGCCGGAGGTGGTGCAAGCGCCTACTCTGGACTCCTTTAAGAGACATTTGGATGTTTATCTGGCTGGGATCCTTTGACCCCAGCTGATTTCCTGCCCTGGGGGCAGGGGCCTGGACTCAATGATCTCCTGAGGTCCCTTCCATCCCTAATGTCTATGAAATCTATGAGACCTACTCAAAGAGCTATTGGTCAACCAAAAATCACTGGGCTAGAAATAGGGGTCCTGGGTGAAACAATGAAAATCCACAGCCTGTGATGCACAGGAAGCCAGCCCAGATCTTTGCTGGCCCCCAAAGCTATTAAATCCCTCCACAGACTGATCAGCATGTTGAGCTAGAAGCCGTTCACAAGTAGAACAGATGCTGGTAGGGGAATAGTTCAGGTTATCTGACTGCAAAACACGATGTACTGTCTCTACCAGACACAAGCCAATCGCGTGTACAGCACCCAGCGTGCTGATGGCCTGGAGCATGACTCAGGGCACCAGGCACTGAGATAACGGAAATAAAAACAACAATGCAATGATGATACCCTATTTTCTTGCAAACAATGCACCCCAACATAGGACCAATGCTGGTTTTGAAAGACAGAATAAAGAAAAAAAGACTTTCCATTGTTCTAGTCCCTGTGGATTACATGCAAGCTTTAGTTTGGCTTTTGCACAGTAAGGGCAGAAACTGCTCTTACCGTTTTTCCTTATATATAATACATGTTGCAATTTTTAGCAGCTTTTTTTTTTTTAAAGGCTGCGTGTTGTACACAAAAGAAATGGTATTTACTAGGGAAGACAGAAGTGGCTGCTACCTAGTTAAGTGGCTGCTGATATATGAGAGAGAGGATGATGTAGAAACTACAGCTGGGATGTAGAAAGCTGAACTCCTGGATTCTCCCCTATTCTCCCAGAGACTCATCATGTCCATTCAAGTTTCATCTTCCCTGTGTTCCAGTTTGTCCATCATATATAACAGAGCACCAGCAACATGGCAGGGAATAGGTGGTTCTGGATGGCTGGATTAGCCGGTTGTATGCAAGATCCCTGGGTGAAAGAATAAGGGCCTTGTTGCCTGGGATCCTGATAACCCCTTTTTGGAGCACAGGTTCTTTGCCAGAGGACTCTGCAACACTGTCCCTTGATCCAGGCCCCTATGTGCATGCAACTGGACCTGGAAGACTGTCTCCTCCTGGTCTCTATACAGGTTTCTATGCAAAAAAAACCACCCTTAAATCTCCAAGCAGGTTCTTCTATATCCAACCTACAATCCAACACAACTAAACCAATGGTGCTTTGACCTGGACCACTGATTTCACCCATGTTGCTTCCTTTGACATCATCTTCTGATGGAAGAAAGAATCCACATCAGAAGGGGTGAGAGGCAGGTGAAAGCAGGAATACCTAGTTAGGGAAGACACAGCAGAATTGGCTTTAAGCAAAGAGTCCCAACCCAGTCGTTTCCACCACTGGCCATATGTTCTTCCTCCTCCCTCATTGCTGTCCCTGCAGGTCTCACTAAGCTCAGGAGTACTGGTCAGCCTTGAGAGTTTAGTATGTGGCGTTATTGGGGGGTCAAAACAGCTGCCACATGAGTCGTTGTTTGTGTCCTACACCTTCAAACCTCACTATCCTGTGCCACCCCACAGGCTATACCAACGTCCAACCACATTCCTACAGAGACAGCAAACCTAAGGCCCGGTCTCTCCCATGCACACGTCATCAGAAGGTCAGCCTCATGGCTTAAAGGTGACCTGACGAGGGTGGAGAAAAATCAGAGTCAACTCTCTTTGACTTCTTTGTGATAGATAAAGAGAGACTGTCGTGGTTTTTTTCAGCTTAGATCATCCTTAGAAATTGCAAAAGTGTCATATCTTCCTTGTCATGGACAAAGAGCTGTGAGAGAGACAGACTCTTTTACAGAGGTCTCTTTTTCCAAGGAGATGTTTGATATTTGAGTGAACCATGTTCTAACAAAGCCCCAATAATGGAGCATTTCAAATGCTTGATTTAAAAAAAAACACATTTCCCTCTAAATCTTAACCAGTTCCCTCTTCAAACGTCTTCTTGGAAAAAGAGGTTGATAAGACCGGAGTTACTAAAAGAGAAACCCAATGGAGTCACCCTCTTAGATGCTATGCATATAACAAGCAGGCTGCATGGTCACAGCACTGTGTCACTGTCATTCTCAGCCTGGTTTGAAGGCCAGTAGCTGCCTCTAGGTGTGGACCCATCTCAATTTGTCCACACAGTAAAGCTGCCTTGACTTAACTATACCGGAGAGAGGAGGTTATCCACAGTAGTCTGAAGTCAGGCAGCAGACGAGGCAGTCCAACATCTTATAGACAAACTGTACCAGTATGGCCAAAGCAGTACAAGCCCTGCAGCGTGCACATCACAATAGCACTAGGATCAATCTTAGGCAGGAATCACTCTTATACAGGAACTATGCGCTAGTAGCGTAAGGCATCTTTATTACATAGCTGCCTTTGCATAAGTGGTTGTGACAACTATCTCAGTTAAGAACAAAATTAATCGAAAAGAGCCATTCAGCATAGACAGACCATATCAAATCTGTGAACGGATCAGGACCGTATCTTTGATACTGCCAGTCTCATCTTTCCCCATGCCTTTAGAGCGCTCATCTATGGAGCTGTCACAAGCTCAAAGGAACCTGTCATTGAATTAACCCCATCAGCTATTTAAACCCAACAGGGACTGCTCTGTTTCAGGCTTTGAAAACCACTTCACAAAGTGGAGGGGAGGAGATGAACCCCCTTCAAAAAGAGGGTTAGGGCTTAAAAAGCTTGGGATAAAGTCAGTGATAAGAGCTTCCATGAGGGTTGAGCTCCGCTGAAGCAATCCTGGGCTTATCAGAAGGAGTCAGGTCTCATACTTGCAGGGATAAGATGCTGACAGCTGTTTTTTGTCCCTCCACCAGACGCCACCCACCAGGGGCTCTGAAAGGGCAGCGGTATATGTGATATGTGTGCCTGTGTTTTTTCCCCTCCCTTGATTATTTTCCATGCTCTCATTTCCTTCTTAACTTAATCCCATTTAGAAAGCAGCAATGACACCTCAGGGCTTCGTGCCTCCCAACGCCCACCGCTCCTCAAATAGATGCACAAAGACACAGCACCGAATTAGACACAGTGACGTGGTTTTGCAGCACACGGGGCAGGCAACAATAGAAAGGGTCTGCTGCTTCGTGACACCTTCTGTAGAGCAATAGAAACCAGCCTTGCTCCTCCCTGACTGTCTTAGAGGCTTCCTGGGCTGCCCAAGGGGCAAATGAATATCTCCTACACATCCACTTAGAAACAGTTCCCAGCACATCTTAAATTGTCCGGGATTTCTGTGGCCCCATCACTGTAATGTCTGAAAGTCTTAGAGTGTTTCAGGGGTGTAGGTTGTAGCCGTGTTGGTCTAAGGACATAGGCAGACAAGGTTATTTGGGTGAATCTGATATCTTTGATTAGACCAACTTAAATAGCTGGAAAACAATTATTCAATTTTATTAAGCAAGCGAAGGTTTGGGTTTTTGAACCCAAAAGATTATATATATATATATATATATTTTTTTTAGCAGAGAAAACCAGGATCCCTGGCATTTAGAAACTCTACAGCAGAGCAAGAAGCAGCAAAGCATTATTAGGGAGAACGCTTTCCTTCCTATACTGAAGTTTCTAGCTCAAGGCAGGGAGAAGACAGTGACTCTTCTTGCGATGTAGTGCCATTGTCTCACAGTGCTAAAACATTTGAAAATGGTAAAGGTGCCAAACACCTTAGCCTATGCTACATCCAGATCCAACACCCATTTGCTTGGCCCATAACTAGTTGCCAGGCCAGAGATTTGTTCACAAGTAATGCTACTTACCAGTAAGAGGGCAATGTATATAAAAAAGACTGAAGCCAAAATCAGAAGGACAACAGACCAGAGAAACCAGAAGCCTAAATTTCCATAGTTATACCTAAAAAACAAGAAAATCTTATAAATTTGGTGAAATTATTAAGTATTACATTTAACTAGGTAGAGTTGAATAAGAAAAACCGCCCTTTCCATCCCCCACAGTCAGCCCTCAAGAAGAAATACAACTAAGTATCTTCTAGTGGGAGGAAATGTTGGACTTACTGGAATCCCATTTCCATGTGCGACCAAAGCACTTTCAAATAACAAGGTAGAGATAAAAAGCAGTCCTGTACATTGCTCTGAGAGCAAGGCATGGGCATGCTTCCTGGTCCTGCAAACATGCAAGCTGATCCAACAAAGTATTTCTAGTCTTGATAGTCCATGTATTGGACTCCTCAGCCATTCAAGAAGTTGTGGTGGTACCCAATGACCCACCAAAGGCACCATCTCCCTGGTCTCCCAAGACCAAAAGAAAATATACAGCCAGTACATCCCAGAAAAGCCAATAGGCAAGGATCTAAAATACTCACCTAACATAAGGGAGACTTAGTTGAAAAACCATGACCTTCCATTAGGGATATCTTAATGATATAGGCCAGGGGTGTCAAACATGTGGCATCCAGCCCACTGGGCTAGGAGCCAGCTACCAAGAGTTGGGGATGTGGCTAGAGAAAGGTGTGGCCTGCCCCAGGACCCAGGGACCCTGCCAGACATGGCCATCAGTGCCCTACCACTGCCACCTGGTTTCACCATCCCTGGACCTCCAATACTGCTGCACCCCCTGGCACCCCAGATCTAGCCTGGGAGGAGCCCTGCCATTCAGGTGGGGCAGGGAGCTCAGGGCAAGTTTGACACCCCTGCTGTATGCTGTTTGGAGCACCTTGCACTTGTCTGTATTGAAACCTATCCTGTTCTCATCCACCCACCTCTGTAACCTGTCCAGATCTAGTTGCAGCCTGTCCCTCTCTTCTAGCATGCCCATTTCTTCCCACATCTTAGTGTCATCTGCGAACTTGAACAAGGTACTTTTTACCCCCTCGTCCAAGTCACTGATGAAGATGTTGAACAGTGCGGGCCCGAGGACCGAGCCCTGGGGGACCCCACTGCCCACACCCCCCCAGGTTGAAAACGCCCCGTCCACCACCACTCTCTGGGTGTGGCCCTCCAGGCAATTAGTGACCCATTTGTCTCTGTAGGCGTTGACACCACAGTCGCCTAATTTTTTAATGAGGATGTAGTGAGAGACAGTGTTGAAGGCTTTCCTAAAGTCCAGAAAGACTACGTCCACTGCAACATCTGTGTCCAAGGCTTTTGTGACCTGGTTGTAGAAGGCCACCAGGTTGGTCTGATAGGACCTGCCTTGAATGAACCCATGTTGATTGCCCCTAAGCATAACCTCCCTTGCTGGTCCCTTGCAGATGTGCACCTGGATAATTTTCTCAAAGAGCTTCCCCAGGACAGAGGTAAGACTAATGGGCCTATAGTTTCCTGGGTCTTCCTTCCTCCCTTTTTTGAAAATGGGAACCACATTGGCCCTTTTCCAGTCCTCTGGCACCACACCAGAGCACCACGAGTGTTCGTAAAGCTGTGCCAGGGGTCCTGCAATGACCTCTGCCAATTCCCACAAACACGGTCAAATCAATATTTTCTGAACAAAATGTAAAACCATATATCAGAACATATACCAACCAGCTGTGACTAGAGGTAGTAAAAACACACCAAGACCCAACGTGCCAGGCACTGTACAAGCAAAGATCCCTGCCCCAGGGAGATAACAGCAGGGGTGGGCAATTATTTCAGGTGGAGGGCCACTTACTGAGTTTTGGCAAGCCATTGAGGGCCGCATGACAGGCAGCCAGGGGCAGATAAATATTAATTTTCTATATTTTTTAGGGGCCCCGTGGGCCGGATAGAATGGCCGGTGGACCACATCCAGCCCGCGGGATGTATTTCACCCACCCCTGGCTGACAGTCTAACGATACAAAAAACCATATGGGTACAGAGAAATGGGAGAGTGCAAAGAAGCAATGGGATGGCAGAGCAGTTGTCAAGTGTCTATGGGCATCCCAGCCAGAAAGGGTGGTTTTTTTGGGGGCGGGGTGGGGGGGTGTTGAAGGAGCAGAAAGCATCATTTCTGCAGATGTGTATAAGGAGCTCTTCCACCCATGAGACAAAGCAATACAAACGGTATCGTGGGCTGATCAAAGATAGGAGCTAATAACAGAGAATGGGAAAAAATACACGGTGTGGGGATAAGCTGTGCATGAAAGTGAAGACAAGCGGCTTCTGTTTCATACAACAGAAAAGAGGGAGCCAGCAGGAAGATTTACAGCAAAGGGTTAGAAGAGAGATCCCAACAGTGCTGCAAATGGATTTTCAGCAGGGCAAGGCTCTATCTTTGGGGTACCAGGCCCGGCACCGCAACTGCAGCAGAAGCCAGCTGTTCTCCCAAGTGGTCCAGGAACTTGGCCCTAGTGGCTGGATTAGACTGTTTTTCCCATGATGAAGCTAGTCCATGCCTCAATCAGCTCCAAGCCTGAGTGGGGAAAGGCACAAGGACCTTCTGTTTATTTGAAAAGGAGCCACGTGACAAGCGGATGAGCTAAATAAGCTACAAATGTCCGGGTGAGGGGTGAGAAGGGGGTTTCCTTGCAGGTACTGACCCAAAGGCGTAGATGAGTGACAGTCATTTAATCCATAACCCTGGAGTTCATTTAATTCTAACTGGCTCTAGGCACCTGATTTACATCATCGCTACATGTATACTGCAGAGTGCAAGGATTTGCATAATCATCATCTGATTATTTCTCAAGACTTGTGCCATGAATATGCAAATCTCCCTATGCTGGTTGGCTGTGGTAATCCCACTGCTGTGCTGTGCTCGACAGTCAAAAGGACAAATCCTAAATTGCCAGCTCAGCTCTTTAATCCTTTTAGATGAAGTGGAAATATGTCAAGAGAAAGGAGAAGGGGTAGAAGAGAGTCTTTCGGTCCCTTTCACTCCTTCATCCCCCCTTCCCCTACTAGCTAGCAGGTCTCCTGGCCCCACAACAATTGTGATGCTTGACTATTTGAATGCAATAGGAAGGATGTTCTCATGGTTAGGGCCCTAGGCTGGGACTCAGCACATTTGGACTCCATTCCTGGCTCTATCAGAGACCCCCTAAGCAAGTCACTCATTACATCTTGGGTCCTCCGTTGCCCAATGGAGATGAGGTTTCCTGGCGGTTTGGACTGGAAGCTTTTCAGGGCTGGGACTACCTCTCACTATGTGCATACAACACCAGGTAGAATAGGACCCTGACAATTAAAGTGCTTCAAGTACTGGTATAACACAAATCACAATTTCCACTGGGTGGGGGGAACCCTGTCAGTCCCACCCAGTTCAGCTTGGAAACCATGAAAGATATAAAAGATATTCACAGGTGAGGAGTCTGACAGAGCCACGGGGAGAGGAAGAATACACGGTAGCGGGGAAAGGACAGGAAGGGAGGAAAGAGAAGGGAGGATCAGTGGGATTAGGCTAGGGATAGTTAATTGACTGTCCCCGGCATAATTGAGTAGTGTTAGGCATCTACCTTCAGTTAATTGAGAAGCACATTGGACAGATCATTTTGGCTTCCAGGGGGATCTTATTTCTGTTTCATTTATAATTCATAACCCAGATTTTCTCCCTTGAGGACCTGACATTAGTTTTCTGCATCCCCATGCGTACCTCTGTGCAGTAGCCAAGCAAAGCTGAGATGCTCGGCACACCTAAAAAATCAGGCCCCTTCCTAAACACGGCATTAGGAGTCTGCCTCACACACCGTGTATGAACAATATTGGCCTTTATACTGCAAGCGTTTCAGTCCAACCAGCACCACCACAGCCTGCTGACAATACATCTGGGTAACCTGGCAAGAGCAGCACACGATGCTAAAAACCACTGCAGCTTTTGGCTTTGTAGCTTGGTTCCTGAAAAAAACATCTTGGCCTTGTGCCGCAGAATGTAGTCACCCTGAGAGACAGTCATTAAGCCAGAAACAGCTGGACCCTTGAGGCATCCTCAGAATAATATGCGATACTCAATCCCTTCCAAAGGCCCTGGGTACGTTAAATAACTAATCCTCACAGTTGGAAGGGAGAAGGAAGAATGAGCCTCTGTTTACAGATAGGGAAGCTGATGCATATGTTGGTTAAGGGTCAAACATGCCAACCCTCTCCCAGGAAATGCTGCGTTCGCAGCTCCCTTTAAAGGCACCTCATTTGGGCCAGGCCCAACGTGAATCATCCCAGG